AGAGAGAGAGAAGAGAAAGTGCAGTAGCATGAAAGTAATAAGAGTGATGGAGCAGATGGAAGGGGAGGAGGAAACTAATATATGTTATGGGTAGTAATTCTCTGTAGTTATGAGGAGGCGAAACTTTAGTAAAAAAAATATGTCAAGAACAACTGTCAGTTTAATTTGTGACAACAAACGAAAGTAAGTACCTCTCGGCAGTTACAAGATTGCTGCTATCCGATGTATCCATGTAATGCTCAACATTGATATTAATGCCCGAACCAATCAGATCTTCCTCGGAAAGCATTGGCAGACTGCTCCGTGAAGCCCTGATCATGCTCTGGGAACCAGTTCGCTGTGAAGTTGTGTTTGCTGCATTGCGAAAAATTTCATACGATGTCAACGAGAACGATGTAAGGCGCTCCAAACGTATCGATTTCCCTTCCAAAATTTTGTTGAATTCATATCCAACAACGCCCTGGCAAAACAAAAAACAGCTGCATTTCTGTCGGAGACAAATGTAGTAACTCGAAACAGCAACTATTGGTAATCCAGCCAAAAACAAGCCATGTGTTTCAGAAATTTTTAAGATGCAAAACATGATGAATATCTCTGCCTAGAGGGGATTAGAAGAAATCGGGGGCCTGAAGTCTTCTATTTGTTAACATACATAGTTTGTTTGGCACTGTTTGGCCCACTGTTGAGAGGAACACAATCGAATTTTGACAGTTTTGAGAAAGCAGAGGAATTTTATGAGCAGTTACAGGCAGAGTAAAAATTCATTCATCGTTCACTATCTATGAAAAAGAACGAACACGATGAATTTCTCCGGCTAGAGGGGATTGGAAGAAGTCGGAGGCTTGAAGTATTCTACTTGTAAAAATACATAGTTTGTTTGGCACTGTTCGGCCCGCCGTTCAGAGGAACACAATCGAATTTTCACAGTTGTGGGAAAGCAGAGAAATCTTACGAGCAATTACGGGTAGAGTAAAAACTCATTCCTTGTTCACTGTCTACGAGAAAGAAGGGCACTTATTATTCA